CTGGCCTTCCCTAAATAAAAGATACATAGTGTAAAGCCAATCCTAGTGATCCTTCTAGAGGCATTTGGAATCTGTAACAAGAATCTTTCTTTGCACAGAGGCTGGGGAGTTGTAGGGTAGACACTTTCTACCCTGACATGGACTGAGTACCAAAGGAAGCTGGCCAGACGAGATATGAAGCACACAAAGAAGCAATGCAGAAAGGTGGAGATACCTCGCTGAATCTTTATAATCTTTAAAATTCATTTCCCTGCTCCTGGGGTTAGTTTAAGCTGTTTTCTTTTACATGCAACTAAGAAATCTATGGACTATATAATATAGACTCTGCCTAGAAAAATCAAACAGTAAAGTTCAAGACAAAGAAAATTCCAATTAAATAATATCACTAAGCTGAAAGAGCTGAAAGAATACTGTCACAAAGATGAAAGGAAGAATATAGTCAAGAGTATCATATGCTACAGAAATGTAAAATAAGAAAACAGAAGAGTGGGTACTAGATTTAATAATATAAGGCAACAAGGGCAACTTCAATAATGGGGAAGCAGAAAGCCAGACGGCAATGAGAAATGAGTAAGATAAGCAGATTTTAGTATGTATCTAATATTAAAATTTTCACACCTATCATCCAAGTAAAGCTTTGCTATAATAGGTTCTAATAATCAAAAAATTAATATATTTTCACAAATAATTCTTTTTCTTTTTTTGAGACTGTCTCACTTTGTCAACCTTGGTAAAGTGCCATGGCATCATAGCTCACAGCAACGTCAAAACTCTTGGGCTCAAGCGATTCTCTTACCTCAGCCTCCCAGGCAGCTGGGACTACAGGAGCTTACCACAACACCTGACTATTTTTAGAGATGAGGTCTTGTTCTTGCTCAGGCTGGCCTCGAATTCCTGAGCTCAAGCAATCCACCTGCCTTGGCTGCCCAGAGTGCTAGAATTATTTAGGCCAGCCATCATGCCTGGCCTAAATAATTCTATCTTAATAAATAATGCAAAGAGAACATAAAATCCTTAGCTACTCTGAAAGTAATAATTTCCTCTGTTTTTGTTAAAATGCTTATGCCTAAATTGTAACTACTACTAATATCCTCTAAAGCCAATCAATGTTCACAAAGTCATAGAATATTCTAATAGCTAGTTACTATCCATTGAGGTATAAAGCATTAAAAAATATATAAACTGTAACAAATTTGAAAGATGTTTACTCACCTCGTAATCCTATGGAGTAGAAAAATAGCCCTTTTACTTTCAACAGTTATATCCCGACTAAGTTTCACAAGTCTCTCATATTTGTCATGCCTTGCATCAAGCTCCTGCTGAAATGCTAAGAACATATTGTTGACCATAAGTATGTTTATTTTATACTCAAAGCCTATCAAACGATATGAAGAATGCATGTCACAATAAGAACACAGACAACAGCTCTAGTCACCTATGTTCATTTAAGGAATAACACAAGGAGAACATGGTGGTAATGACACCAATTCTGAAAACACGAAATGCTCAACACTATAACCAATCTCCAGCACCTACTGTCTATAGTCTTCTTAGTTGCCAAACATCCGGGGTCTACATCACTAAAATTCTCAAAATACCCAGAGAGGTCCACTGAACAAATATTGTCTGAATTTGTTTTATTATGTTCTCATCTGTCTAAATCTTTAAAACTGTCTTACTATTTTCTATAAATGCCAACTATGCACAAAAACATGTAAATTCCTAAATCCTCAGACTTTTCAAAAGAATCTATAAACTCTATTAAGGGTAGTATTAGTGTAACAAGATGAATATGCAACAATTTCTTCAAATAAATGCTACAGTAAGTGAATTATGTCACAATTTAAAGACACAAAATTATGACTGTCACATTTAAATAAACACTGAATAACAATCTAATCAGCCACTTATTTTTTTAGATTGCATATAGCCTCAAATTTACTTTACATTTTACCATATAGTATTATTGTATGCATAACTGTAACACATTTGAGAAATACTATTTTTAAGAAGATAATAAAGAGAAAAAAAAGGAAAAAAAATTGAAAATTCACAACCACGATGTGAGTTACTTTTGATATATAACTGGAAGATTAGGTTATAAAAAAGTTTTTGCAATCAAGTTGTGGCCGAGTTCATCTGAAAATGATCAGGGAAACGTGAAAACATAAGCAATTAAGCCAGGAAAAGGTCAGCTGATGAGTCAGTCAGGATGTTAGAAATCTAGGAAGAGGACTGAAAGTCGTAGAAAATGAGGAAGAAGAAAGAGATCCAGAGAACAAAGAAAAGCTGAATGTGGGCTGTGTGTCGGGTTAGCTTATATATATTCTTGGATGATTCAGTAGTTTCACACAGAAATTAAACCTATCAAAATTCTGACAGTGACAAGTGTCTCCTCATAATGTACTATAGCAGAACCTTCACAGTTGATAGCTGACCACCTCCCTAAACTGACTACCTCAAGATGACCTAATTTTCTTTTTTCTGTTTTTTTTTTTTTTTTTTTGAGAC